GAATGTCACCTATTTTCCAAATGATGTTGATACTTAAATAATGCAAGGAGAGCTAAATTTATTCTCACAGAGAAAGGCTTGCTACTTGACTAGAAGAAAGTGTTTTATGTTTTAGTTTTACAGTTTCATTAAATCTACTTCGAAGTTTTCGATAGTTACAGATTTATTTTTTTCCTAGAGGAATACTTTCTGTCTCCTAATATTAACCATCCAACTAACAAGTCCTTATTTTCCACGTGGAAATCAAGCTGGCATTATTGCTCATCATCACTTTTTCTAAGTCATAAAAAGTTTCATGTTTCTCCTTTTAAAGGAAAGTAAATTTTGATTTGTATCTCAAGCATGTTCCTCAAATTTCACTCATTAAAAAAACCCAGCCAACCAATCAACCAATCAAAACCCCAGCCAAAACCCAAATGCTGTTATTGCTATTGGTTATTAATCAAAATATCACAAAATAATAATTAAAATGGATTTGTTAGATTTTTCTACATGTTTAAACAACTTAGAAGTAGGATGGGGAAACAGCTTATATCTGGATCTGTAATGAGCTGAAATCTAAGATTTAGATTCCTTGACAAATCAAGAATAGGAGGAATCAAAGTGAGAAATAAAAATAATTAAAAAAAAAAAGTAAAAATCTTTCAAGCTATTCCCCCCAAATTTCATAATCCAATGAGACAAATCAACCTCATGATATTTGATTACTGTAAAAATCTTCTTAAAACAGCTGAAATATTTCTCAACCAAAACTATGTGTAAGAGATTACAACCACCTTCCTGCAAAATCTCTCAATCTGCATGACATGTGAACAACACGCCTGAGAGCAGCTCAGATCCTAAGCTTCGAGGCCAGTTTCAGACCCAGGTGTTTTCAGTAAGAGGAGATAACAGGCAGAGGGCCAACATCGCTCCTTCTCCAAACACAGGCAAAAGTATTTTATGCTGCACTGATCAAAGATCAACGTAGTTGAATATGTGCAGTATGAATGTGTGCATACCCCATGACATAAACCACATTTTGTTAATGCAACTCTGGCATTTCTTCCAACCGTCTCCATTTCTACATGCGCTTGGATAAAATGTAAAAGCAGGATAAGTTGTAGCATTTTCTAGCTTTAATAAAAGCAAGCCATCAATTTTAAATATCCTTCAGAAACATTAGAAATCATAGCCGTGAAAAACCCACTGCTTCCTGGACCCATCTGTAACATGAAGGGAACATTTGTACTGTTTGTGTGAAGATCTCGTACCAATGGGCAAGTGACAGGGAGCCACCTCTTGTAGTTTAAATGAGCAGAGGTTAATACAAGCAAAGATTAAAGTTTTCTTTGGCAATATAACACACTAACAAAATCAACTAACCTCCAGTGAGAAAAGCATATTCTCTAGACTAGTAGAACAGGCAGGGACAGAACAGCTACAAAGCATCTGTAACACATGAGAAAGGGCCATTCAACTCAGGAAGACTTAAGTGCACACAGAGAGCTCTAACAAAGTTAGACACTTTTAATTTAAATGAATTTTAGGCTCTCAATTTTGTGTCTATAAACGTATCTCGCACCATATTACTGACCACTGCATTGTTTATGCTTAAGCCTGCAGGTCAGAGATGGTCAATAACCATTGTTCTGGACACATTCATGTTTAAATACTGGCTTCTTCGGCAGTAAGAAGCTGCAACAGCACCTTTCCTTGGGATTCACAAAGACCATTGCCCTGAGCAAAGTTTTTCAGCCTCAGGTTTGAATACACATAGCACACCTACAGTGAACCTGTAGTTCACACACACCAGTGAAATTTTTCACCAAAGTAGGATTTGAACTGAAAATGCTCATTAACCCTATAACTACACCTGTACTCCCCTCCAGGTAACTGCCTGCAGGAAACTCACTCTTCCATCATGTGCAGAAGGCATTTTATGCGAAGTGTTTGTCAGAGACTGAAATGGTTGATGATTTATGCATTCTAGGAGACTCTTGCAGGCTTTTGACTTCTGTATTATACCTCTGATGGGCAATTAGGCCCATCCCTCCCTCCAGTGCTGAAGGTGTCAAGCCCTGAAAAAGCAAGAAGATAACTCCCCGCCTCAGGGGAGGTGTAAAAGCATGCTGAGGGTATATAAACTGACTGGTGACTTTGGGGTTTTGGGGTTTTCCTTCTCCCCCACCGCCTCCGAATCGAGACCATCGCTTTCAAGATTGCCAAACTGCATCGCTGGATCCAGTGGGCGGTGACTATATACGTTTCTTTCTCACTCTCATCTTTTCTTTTTCCTTACTCTCCCTTACTCTTATCCTGTCTTTCTATCCCCTATGCATTTTCTCCCCCCCCAAAAAGGTTATCTCTGTGTCACATTGTTATATGACAACACCCAAAATGCTAGCATAGCTGTTGATGCAGAATTTTTAAAATAAATCTTACCAATATATGTTTTCAGACACCGATTATTCTGTGTCTTTTCACTCTAATCCACCCCAAGGGAATTATTGATAAAAACGTGAGTTACTCCCCCTCCCCTTTTCCTGGGACGGGGTCGTAACAGTTACACACAATAAGCTACTTTGGGACGTAAGCCTTACAAACAAACCCGAATCCCTATGAGTTGTTATTTGATCTACAAAGAAAGAGTATTAAGATAAGAAGCAACAGTATTTCCATTGCACCTGTGACCCACCATATTTTAAAAATGTATTTTGACAGCGCCAGGAAAATAAAAAACAGAATTTTTTTATCTGTTCTTAAAAGTATAAATGCAGACAGAAACTCTCTTTTCAGAGTAAGATGGTTTTTTGAGGTTCTCAGCCCACAGTGCTATGATTAAGCCTGATTTTCAAAACTTGCTTCCAAAATGCTGTCTCAACCCAGCCAAAAATAGATGGGATGCAAACTACTAATCACTTCAGGAAGTGCAGGTCATTGCTCTAACTTGTAGGGATGTACAACTCCGTACCTGCTGTTACTACTTTTTTCATTATTTGCTAAAATTCAAATTATCATAAACACGAGAGTTACTGCTCTGTTGCTTTTTGCATGATAAAA